GTGGCTGTGAGTGTGCCACTGCACTCCAGCCTGGGTGACAGAGTGAGACTCCAACTCAAAAAAAAGTATATATATATTTTTGTAAAAGGTATTATTAATATCACTAGTATTTATTTATTTGTTTATTTATTTTTGAGTCAGAGTCTCACTCTGTCACCCAGACTGGAGTGCAGTGGCACGCTCCCGGCCACCGCAGCCTCGACACATGCTGGGCTCCTGCAATCCCTCGGCCACAACCTTCCAAGTAGCTGGAACTACAGGCGTGCGCTACAACACCCGGCTAATTTTTTTGATTTTATTGTAGAGAGGAGGTCTCGCCAAATTGCCCAGGTGGGTCTCGAACCCACGGGCTCAGGCATTCCACTCACTTCAGTCTCCCAAAGTGCTGGGATTATAGGCTGAGCCACCGAGCCTGGCTCTTTTTTTTTTTTTAAAGCAGGATTTATTGAGAGGACAGAAAAGCTCCCACAGTGGGAGGGGACTTGAAGGGGCTGCCAACAAGTCAGCTTTTTAAAATCAGTACAAGTTCTAAATTAGTACATGTACAAAACTCTGAAGAAAAAAAGATTTATAAAAAAGAGAGAAAGAAGCCAAGTGCAGTGGCTCACACCTGTAATCCCAGTACTTTGGGAGGTGGAGGCGAGAGGACTGCCTGAGTCCAGGAGTTCAAGATCAGCCTGGGCAACCTGGTGAGACCTTGTCTCTACAACACAATCAAAAAACTAGCTGGGCATGGTGGTGCACCTGTGGTTCTGGCTACTTGGAAGGTTGAGGCGGAAGGATCATCTGAATCCAGCAGGTTGAGCCTGGTGGTTGTGAGCGTGCCACTACACTCCAATCTCGGCGAAAGAGTGAGCCTCCAACTCAAAGCAAAGAGAGGCCATTGCTTTGCTAAACTCTGGTCGGGTCATGTGGCTCTTTGAGCTATGGAGCCATGTTTTCCTAAGCTTTGGCCCCCTCCTCTACCTGGGAAGGTAAATGGTGAATCTCCTCTCTTTCTTTCTCTAATTTACTTTCTAAATAAATATATTTTCCCATCTAGCTTCTGTGTAATTCTTTGCATCTTTCACTGGATCACAGATCCCCGGTCTAACCTGACATTTTGTAGGCCTCCCTGGGATTTTGACCTAACAGGGTAGCAAAAAAAGAGAGAGAGAGAAAGAAACCATTATTTAAAGTCTGTCAAATAATGCTTATAACAACAAATCTAGACGCAGGACCCTGCCATGGTAGAGCAGCTCCTCTTCCCACAGAAAACAGCGACAGAGGGCGACCCCCTTGGGTCCTCTCCCATGGTGGGAGCTTTTCTGATCTCTCAATAAATCCTGCTTTCTCACTTAAAAAAAAAAAAGAAAAAGCAAACAGCTACATTAGAAAGCTATACAACATTTATAGAATGACAGTTTGAAAGTATTGGGGAATAACCAACATAAGCAGAAAGGGGCTTATATAAGTCTTGGCTCTTTTATTGAGACCGTTTCCCAAATGACAGCATAAAAATGACTATTTGAAGCCGGGTTCGGTGGCTCAGCCTGTAATCCCGCGCCTTTGGGAGGCTGAGGTGAGTGGATTGCCTGAGCCCGCGGGTTCGAGACCCGCCTGGGCAGGCGAGACCTCATCTCTACAATAAATAAAAAAAAAAAATTTAGCCGGGCGTTGTAGCGCACGCCTGTAGTTCCAGCTACTCGGAAGGCTGAGCCGGAAGGATCGCCAGAGCCCAGCAGGTCGAGGCTGCGGTGGCCATGAGGGGCCACTGCACTCCAGTCTGGGCGACAGAGTGAGACTCCAACTCAAAAAAAAAAAGACTATTTGTCTAAGCTGGAAGAGACAGAAGTTAGAATTCAGGGATCCCAGAATGGCTGGGGCTTGAGAGTTAAGAATTTCAAGGTCAAGGGAATTACAGACTGAAAAGAAAACCTAAAACCTGCCGGCAAATTCCCCTCAAGTCACTGGCCGTCTTCTAAGTTGTGCATGCATGAGATGAGATTCCAAAAGGTCAGCAAAAACCGCAGATGGGAGATTCAAGAACTGAGCTGAAGTTTTACCAGATACACTGTGCTGGGGAGAGGCTGGAGTTCAAGCCCCAAAGGGTCGCAGAGCTTTGGGCCACAACCCAGGCTTTCAATCTACAGTCCCAAGGGGCTACCTCCTAGAGGTGAGGGCCGGGCCCTGGGAACAAGCACCAAACCAGACTAGATCGGCTAACGACGCCCAAACCAAGACTCGCGGGGCAAAGGCTCCACCAGAACTCCAGCCTGGGAGAAGAAAGCAGCTTTCTCTGGAGGCTGACACCACGCTGAGCCTCCACAGTGTTTTCTCTATAATGTCCAATATCCAGTAAAAAATGACAGCCATGTGAGAAAACAGGCCACAATGACTGAGGAAAATGAAAGAAAAAGAAGCATTCCCAAAGTGAGGTGGATACTGGTGTTATCCAACAGAGATTTTATTTCATTTATTTACTTTTCTTCGTTCTTTTTTCCTTTATTTTATTATGAAGATGTGGGGTACAAGCCAGGACAAGGTATGTAAGCACCTCCGACCTAGGTGTGAGTTTGGGCCTCCAACTGGTCCCTACTTCCCTAGTTTAGGATTAGGTGCCCTTTGTGTCAACAGGAATTTTAAAAATGACTATGGGTAACATATTCAAGAAAATAAGAGGAAAAGATAGATATAGCAGATAAAGAGATAGAGAATTCCAACAGAAAACACATCTATAAAACGAAACACATGGAAATTCAGAACTAACAATATATGATATTTAAAACTAAGAAGTAATTAGAAGCCAGGCTCAGTGGCTCAGCCTGTAATCCTGCGCCTTTGGGAGGCTGAGGTGAGTGGATTGCCTGAGCCCGCGGGTTCGAGACCCGCCTGGGCAACTTGATGAGAC